ACTAGTGCCACAGGGTTCATAGTCAAAAAGGAAGAGGCCAGCAGATCATCCAACTGGAGATCATTAAAAGCAATCCAGCTTGGGTTTCTTACATTTCAGGCAATCGATCAAAGGCCATCATGTTCAAGTCCTGTCTGACAATGTGACAGCCGTGACCATGTGACAGAATGAGAAGCAAGAGTCTCCTGGAGCTGGCACTTCAGATCCTAGCCTGGGCAAAACAGAGCACGCAAATCTTTTTGGCAGATTTCCTAAGCAGAAAGCAGGTGTTAGAATCTGAAAGAGGAGGTTTTCCAGATGTTCATAGAACGGTGGGGGTTCCCCAGGTCTACTTGTTCGCAAGTCAAGAAAACTCAAAAAGCCCTGTTTTCTTTTCCCTGCGCAAAGAGGATCAGGTGGTGGGGCTAGATGCATCAGCTCGTCGGTGGGATAACCCCCTGTGGTATGCGTCCCGCCCCCCCCCTTTCAACTGATATCGCGAGTGCTCTTGAAGTTCAGAGAGGAAACCACTGAGTTGATTTTTGTTGCCTCGTTTTGGCCAAAAAGGCCTTGGTTTTCGTCACTCCTTAACCGGTCCACAAGATCTCCTTGGAGGTTGCCGAACAGAAGGCATTTGTTGGTGCAGGGTCCAGTGTGCTATCCAGAGGTGTGAGCGCCTCAAATTAACAGCTTAATATCTGAAGAGGACCTGTTAAGAGGAAAGAGACTGTCTGACAAGCTTATAGCTACCCTCCTTTCAAGCAGGACAAAGTAACCAGAGTGATATACTTTAAAGTTTGGAAAAGTTATAATTCATGGTGTTCATCCAAGGGTTTTGAGCTGAAGAAAGTCACTTCAGTTTTGGAGTTCCTCCATGAAGAAATGGAGATGGGCTTAGTGGCAAGTACCCTCAAGGCTCAGGTGGCAGCTTTGTCTGTGTTCTTGGAGAAGACGCTATCTTTAATTATTAGATTTTTTTAGGGCAGTGGCCAGGGCTAGGCCGGCATGCCATTTATTTATTTATTTCAGGTACTTAAATAGCGCCGGCAATTTACGCAGCGCTTTACATATATGTTGTACATTCACATCAGTCCCTAACGCTCAAGGGGCGTACAATCTAAGGTCCCTAACTTACATTCATACATACACATACTAGGGACAATTTAGACAGGAGCCAATTAACCTACTAGCATGTCTTTGGAGTGTGGGAGGAAACCGGAGTTACCGGAGGAGGAAACCCACGCAGGCACAGGGAGAACATGCAAACTCCAGGAAGGAGGTGCCGTGGCTGGGAATCGAACCAACGACCCTAGTACAGCCAGGTGGAAGTGCTAACCATTTAGCCACTGTGCAGCGTGCCACAAATTTTTTCCCAGGTGGGATCTTTCTTTTGTGTTATAGGGGCTCACGGGAGGCCCATTCAAGCCCTGAGGGAAGCCTTGTTAAATGAATCTGGTCCTTAAGACAAATCCTGTTAATTGCAGTTATTTCAGCCAGAAAAAATAATTGAAATTCAGGCCCTGTCCATTTTTGAACTGTTTCTAGTTGTGTTTCCGGATCGAATGATCCTCAGGTCAGACCCAGGTTTCCTTCCACAAATATAGTCCGCATTTCACCGCACTCAAGAAATTGTTTTAGCTACCTTTTGTCCAGCTCCGTCTAAGCTGGGAGAAGAAGTTCCACATGTTGGACATAAGGAAATGCCTCCTACAATATTTGGAGGAAACTAAAAGCTTTAGGAAAGCTTTAGGAAATCAAGCGCCTTGTTTGTTCTTTTTTCGGGAGCTCACAAGGTTGAGAAGGCTTCCAAGAGTACCCCGGCAAGGTGGCTCAGGCAGGCTTTCAGGGAAGTTTACATGGCAGGAAAACAACCACCAGAGGGAATTGCAACCCACTCGACAAGAGCAGTGGCGGTATCCTGGGCTGAAAGGGCTGGTGCTTCATCAACTTAGATATGCAAGGCTGCCACTTGGTCTAGCTTCTCTACTTTCATCCAATTAGACCTACTTTTTGTAGCTGACCAGTCCTTTGGTAGAAAGGTGCTGCAAGCAGTGGTCCGGTCCTAGAGTAAGGTTTCTCGGTTGTCATCTCCAGGTGCTTTCCTGAAAGGCGAGGTGAGAAAATCTCAGACTTACCAGTAACGGTATTTCTAGAAGACTTTCAGGACAGCAGTGACTGCCTTCCCTGGGACATTGATTTGCTTGATATGTTATCTTTTATGGTGGTACTTGTTCTGTGTTCTGTTTTTTTTTTTCCAGCATGCTGGGGTTTCTCGTCTACAACTGAAGGCATGGTCGAATAGGCTGGGTTTTTGAAGTTTGGCTGCAGTATTTCCTGGGAGAAGGGGGTGGAACTACACTTTCTCCAGGTGCTGTCCTGAGAGGCTTCTAGAAATACCGTTACCAGTAAGTCTAACTGAGGTTTTTGGGGTTTTTCTTTTTTTTGCGCCTTGAAAGCTTTGTACCAGCAATCAGCAAATCGATGGTGCAATGCAGGACTCCTGCAAAATGTCAGTGTATCTGCTTGTCTGTACATCCTGTCCAGGCAAGCAGATATAGTCTGACAGGAAGACTCAATGAACTGCCACAGCGCTAAACGACACCGTGGTAGTTCATTGAGAACTACAAGCAGACATCCGCAAAGGGACCTGTAGTTCATTAATTCACAGAACTCTGCATGAATAACGTAGCCGTATGGGCGCAGCCCTGTATGATTGCTTGGTTTAAAAAAAAAAAATACCAGTTACGGGGAACTTCTCCCCGTACTGCTGTCACAGGGAGGTGAAGGGATCAGGCAGCAGCTGCATCAGTGGAAACATGTTACATCTTCCACCCTAAAAACGAGGGGAACATTTAATATGTTCCCAAAGGTGAACTTATCCTTTAATCACTAGAAGGATCTCTGATTGACTCAAGCTTATCTAACCTGTTTGTTTTACAACTCTTGAGATAACTGCATGTTTTAAATGAACTGACCTTTTATTGTAAAATGGTGTGGTAAACTACAACTATTGTATGCACTACAGAACCGAAAACACAGCCTGCATTCATTAACACACATTGATGAGATTTTTATATCCAATCTCTGTTATACCTATACTTAAAAAAAGTTAACTACTTAAAAGATTATAAACTACCTAAAAGCAGAACTCTCATAAAAATACACCTGTGCAGGCGCCCATGTTTTTGCACATTGAGGTAGGGCTTCCCATTTCAGTGGGAACGCAAATATTGTGTGTTATAATATTGGAGAAGGAGAGGTGGAATGGAGGGAAGTAGTGGAAGAGGGTGAAGGTCCACTTTAATGTTGATTTAAAGAACCTAGTTCCTCTTTAATGTAAACCTATGCTTTACCTAATGTAAACCTATTCTTTACCCATATAGTGAAAAGTAGCAGTTTTATTTTATTTCCAATGCTCCCCATGCTTCCCCAACTGCTTAAACTTTTCTTTGCTCCCCTAATGCTTTGCTTGCTACAGAGAAGGTAAAAAAATATATTCGAATATAGGTATATTTGAGCAAATCACAGGTTCAGTTCAGTAAAGTAAAGTAAAGTAAGCTTCCAAACCATCATATTTTCTCTGAAGATGTTGGCATCCCAAAGGATGTACTTTTCGTGGTCTAGTGACAATGCAGGAGACACAACAAATAAATAATATTTAAACCTTGTATTTCTTGAAAATGGCGTTATAAGGGGGGATAGTCAAGTCATAACCTCTGGTCATATCCCCACTGTACCATTTAGTAATCTAGAGTGGGCCCCACCAGCAAAAGCTCTCTCTATCTGTATAAGTGCCTTCACAGATTATTGACTCAAAAAAGAAGCTCCTGCAGTACAGTTGGGGCTGCCTGCAGATGCACCTTTCATAGCTGAAATATATATTCAAGTATCATTATAGAGACTTTTGCAGACCGCAACATCTCTCAATATTAAGTACTACTTCCCTTGCCTGTCACAGAAATAAGATCCCAACGCTCCTAAGCCCCATCGTGCTTTTTTAAGAAGCGTGGGCTTCTTATGACCCAAAGTTGAGAATACTTTTGTTATCTTTTCCACTTTCCACAGTCATTAATATGATTCCAATTATTAACCCAGTTTGCTATTATTTTACTAGCAATAGATCAGATTACAAAATGTAAGGAAAAAAAAGACCCATCATATAAAAAAAAAAACTGGAATCAGGTTGCTGTTAGCAGCATCTCCAAATGTCCTTAGTTTTTGCACAAGTGACATGCTGAAAAACCAATTGACCCATAGCCTGCAGACACCATTCCTCATTAGTAAGATAATTCACGCTATGAAAGATCCCAGCTGCTGTGCGTGGAATGTGGTAGATCCCTTAGGCTGCATTTACACCTTTGCTTGTTGTTGCATTTTCTTACCAACATATTTTTTATTAAAATAATTGAAAAAAAAAAACACATGTCAACGCTTGCTGCACTGTGCTGTACAGTGTACATCAGTGTGTGCTGACATGTGCTTTGATGTGTTTCCATGTATTAAAAAAAAAAAAAAAAAAAAAAAAAAAATCACAAATATGTGAATCCAAAGATTATACACTTTGAGGATATATTTCTCATTTGGTGTATTTGTTTTAGATGCTAACCCCTAGATTTTCTTTTCCGATTGGTAATCTAATAAACCTTTTTAAAACTTCACCAGTGTACTGTTGACTTGTCATGAAGCAATGTACGGTATTGGCAATGGGAATATTTACTGCTCTAATCAATAGGCAGTAAATGCAGATTAACCACTTGCCTACAGGACACTTATACCTCCTTCCTGCCCAGGCCAATTTCCAACTTTGAATGACAATTGCGTGGTCAGGCAACACTGTACCCATATGAAATTTTTAGCATTTTTTTGTGACAGATAGAGCTTTATTTTGCTGGCATTTAATCGCCTCTGTGTTTTTTATTTTTTCTTAAACAAACCAAAAACCACTGAAAATTTTGAAAAAAAAAACGTTTTTTTTTTCTTAGTTTTTGTTATAAAATTTTGTAAGTAAGTGATTTTTCTCCTTCACTAATGAAGAGGCACTGATAGGTGGCAATGAAAGGCAGCACTGATATATGGCACTGATAGGCGGCACTGACAGGTGACACTGAAAGGCAGCTCAGACGGGCACTGATATGTGGCATTGATGTGCACTGGTAGGCACTGATATGTGGCACTGGCATGTGGCACTGATGAGCACTGACAGCTGGCACTGATGGAAACTGACAGGTGGCCCTGCTGGGGCTACGATGATCATCAGGGCACACTGACCATCAGTGCTCTGATGATCAGTGTAGATGTCCCCTCTGCGGAATGCCGATTACCGGCTCTCCTCTCGAGCTGTCAGCATGACAGCTCGAGAGGATAGAACTGCCGATAACCGGCATTTCCTTGTTTACATGTGACAGCTCCCGGAGCGTGGCGATCGGCGGTGTGCTGTGTCCCTCGGACACAGCGGATCACCGATCCATGGAAAGAGCCGAAGATGTCGGCTCGGTCATGTGATCCGCTGTGTCCGAGGGACACAGCACACCGCCGATCGCCACGCACCGGGAGCCGTGCATGCGCGGTTAGAGTGGGAGGATGTCATATGATGCCCTCCCAGAACGAGAGAACCACCTTGCATCTGTCATATTACTATATGGCGGGCGGGCGGGCGGTGGTTAAAGGTTATAATCACTCTTTTTTTTTTTTCAAGCTCTCTTTGATCTGGAGAGCAAGGTCTTACCTTTAGCCTTTGGTAAATTTCTTAGAAAATGTTTTTACTTCCTGGAATGTAGACTGAGGAGTTAGTAGGACCCCGGAAGCAGATTACCATCTGATCTCATTAGTACACATCCTACACTTACCTCATTAGCACACATCCTGCACTGCCACATCCTGCACTGACCTCATTAGCACACATCCTGCACTGACCTCATTAGCACACATCCTGCACTGACCTCATTAGCACACATCCTGCACTGACCTCATTAGCACACATCCTGCACTGACCTCATTAGCACACATCCTGCACTGACCTCATTAGCACACATCCTGCACTGACCTCTTTAGCACACATCCTGCACTGACCTCATTAGCACACATCCTACACTGACTACATCCTACACTGACCCCCATTAGCACACATCCTACACTGACCTCATTAGCACACATCCTACACTGACTACATCCTACACTGACCCCATTAGCACACATCCTACACTGACCTCATTAGTACACATCCTGCACTGACCTCATTAGCACACACCTTCACCCATCAACAATTTTTTTATATAGCATCCCTGGGATCTCTCTCCACGTGCATTTGCCTGGCTACCCCAGCGTCTCAACAGATGGGCTTGGGCCGCATTCAGCCCACAGGACACCCCTGATGTAATGCAGCGGGCTGCTTGATTGGATATAGAGTGATTGGATAGATGTGGTGTCCTCCTATTATATAGTTTTGGTAAATCTAAAGGAGACTGTACAATCAGTTTGTATAGTGTATTGCCACATTTATATACCTAAAATGAACTAGTTGCACTTTCAGTGTCTTTAATTGTTAATGGCACACCAAAAACAGAAACAAGCACACATTTTGCCACATGAAAAAACGGGTGATAAATGCAGCAAAACGTGCAGTAAAAAAATGAGCAACGCTCATCACGCCAAAATGCCCCATGAGTTACTTTGCCACATGTAGCGCCATCCATTGAAATCAGCGGGCTGCCCTATGTGTGTTACTGGAAAAATGAGCCAAAGAAAAATGCACTCCCTCTACTCTCGGTGTGAATTAGGCTTGAAAGTGAAATTGTTGCATTTACACAGGACAATGAGGCTCCATTCACATCTGTGTGAAATCCATCAGATGGATAAATGCTTTGGTCTCACTTGAAATAGTTAACATAGTCTGACTGCTGATTTTCAGACAAGAAAATGGGCTACAAAAGAGGCAAAATCAACTGTACAATGAAACCAATTCACTAACCATCAGCCAGCTGTTTTTGTTCCCTTGTTCACTGATGCCACATGACAGGAGGTTGCATACTCGATCTATTCTTGATAAGTGGTGAGATGAGACTACATGTGTTGGGCTGTGGTAGTGTCTACAAGGCGAAATGTCATTTTTAAGTTTTACATCAGTTAATAAATACAACATAAGTTCTAAATTTTGCACCTAAGAACTACAATTAGCACTGCAGACATTAATGCTGGCTATACATGCTTAGATTTATGGATGAACGTTCCCAGGAATTTGTAGAAAAAAAAATTCTCAGTAACATCTTGACAAATGTCATCTGAAAGCAGTTCAGAATTTTGTTTGCTTTTAAAAATCGATTTTGGAACAAACAGGCTTTACCAAACATACGCTCATATAAATTCATTCTTTGGAGAAAAAATTTCCATCCTTCTTTCAAAATTTTTCATTACTTTGGTAAAAAACAGATATCAATTTGACCCACTAACAATTAGAAAATCAAGTGAATGAAACAAAAAATTTCAAATTAAAGTGGTTTTAAAGGCATTTAACCGAAACACCTTCTGCATGCAGCTTCAGCACCCCCCCACCCCCTCTTATACTTACTTGAGCCCAGTCTTGATCCAGCAATGTGCATGAGAGCAGAGGCTCTCTCAGCTCTCTTCCTCCTTATTGGCTTAATTACAGCCAGTGATAAAGGAGCAGGGGGTGAGGCCGAGTACCTATGTTAATAGACGCAAACAGTGAAACTTGGGAGCAAGCCCACATGAGTGCCCTCATAGTGCCCTCTTAGCAAGCAGCTTGATATGGGGGCACTTGAAAGGGAGAAGGAGCCAGGAGTGCTGGCTGGGAACCCAAGAAGAGGATCGGGGCTGCTCTGTGCAAAACCATTGCACCAAACAGGCAAGTATGGCATGTTGGTGTTTTTAAAGAAAAATAAAATATATGTTTAGAATCACTTTACATTCTGCCAGTGTATGACCAGCTTAAAGCCAAAACTCTCACTTTCCTTCACTTTAAAACAGTTTGGACCAAACTAGTCCAAATGAACTATTACCTTCACTAGCAGATGCGCCTGCCATGAGCGCTGTCTAAACTCTGTCATCTCTGTCCTTTTCCCACTGCTGGAACACAGTGCTGTATGCTATATGTAGCTAACAACATAGAGTTTATACATCTGTTAGTGAGGTTAATAGTTCAGTTGGACCAGTTTGGTCCAAACTTAGGCCCCATTCACATCTAGCGATTTGAAATCACAGGTACAATCCCCACGATTCTGCCCATAATTTCAAATTGCACTGCAATAGTGGCAAAACCCACCACATGTGTTTGGGTGCCATTCATTTTTAATGCCATCTAAACGCAGTACAATTTTGCCATGATTGCCACACAGTTTATTGAGACAAACTGCATCATGTGAAGCTTGTCCCCCCCAAAAATGCTCCTGCTCCTCTTTGGGTGACAAGCTTTGAACAAAGTGGATTGCCATGCAATAAATCGCATGACAATTGCAGCAAAACTGCATCAAGTTTTCAGTGCCATTAAAGGATAAGTTCAATTTAAACATAAATAAATAATAAATGCACTTTTTTGCTGGTAAAATAAATATTTTTTTTTTTTCTTACAAGCCTGTAAAGCACTGTGCCCCCAATCAGCTCAGATCGTAGGTGCAATGTCATGCTTCTGCAGACTGTCCATGTAGCTATCTGCCTGTACCTCTGATACGAGCAGGCAGTTACTTCAATCCAGGAAGCGCAATGGACTACAAGAACGCTCACCAGTGCCCTTGCAGTTCACTGAGAACTACAATCTGTCAGCTGCAAAGGATGATGGTACTTGTAGGCATTCATTCACAGAATTCTGTGATATAATGACGCAGCCATGTGGGTGGGGTGACGCTCTTTTCAAATTATGACAGCAGGTGTGGGGAGAAGATACTTGGCCCACTGTCACAGGGAGGCGAGATAATTGGGGAGAGAACTGAAGGAGCGAAAACATGTTACATGTTCCCAAAGGTGAACTTATCCTTTAAATCTGGTGAATACCTTTATAAACATACCTGTCATGTTTCCCATGACTGTCATATGCCTTTAAGTGTTCTTTGTATTTTGTCTCTGCTCCTCCCTTTCCTCTGGTTTAGTTCATGCTGTATAGATAGCAGCCCACCCCTTTCCCAGTAATGCATTTCAGCTTCTAGCCTCATGTCTTATGGAAGCAGATCACATTACGATCTTTTGACCTATCTGATGTTCATTGTTGTAAGATTCTCTCAGTTTATGGAATAAACTTCACAAGATCTACAAGATATCATCCGATAGAGTCACTGCCTGTGTTATTCAACTAAGATTGGAGTTATCGTTATCTCATTACAACAAAGTTACAGAGATCACACTTTCAATGCTTAGATTGGAGAGACAGAACAATACCCTTTGTTCTGTTTAGCTAACACAGCATGGCCATTTGTTTTTTTTTTTCCTTTTATTAGAAGTTATTTTTAACATACATATATGTGGTTTAATTGTCATTATTTTTGCTTGTCCATGTTAAGCACATACTTCAAAAGCAATGAGTCAGAAATCAAATATACTGTACCTAGGAGCAAAAGCTAATGTTCCCTTCCAATTAAGATGTCCATTTATCACCAGCACCTGTACAACATGTGTGAAACAACTGCTAAGCTCTGCATTTCTACTAATTGCAATGATTCATTGCTCATATCCTGAATGTGTCCACCTGAGAAAAAGTAATATTAAGATCCATATCACAATTCTTCTTGAAGAAAATGTCTTCTTATTCTTGAAGAAAGTGTCTATGTAAAACAAAAAAGCTGTGATAAACAGCCACTGTGCTTTTAGAAGGTTTACAGATAAGATGCCCCCAAATTATTGTTAGGGTATTTCCCGTTGAATAGTTCTGTTAATGTTACAGCATACAAATACCTTTCGGACAATTGTTCACTTCCAACATTGTGCCATTTTCTGTTCCTTGTGTACAATGCCAGGTCCACAAAGACATGGTTTGATGAGTTTAGTGTGGAAGAAATTAAGTGGCCAGTGCGAAGCCTGGACCTCAGCCGTACTGAACACCTTTAGGGTGAACTGATTGCCAAATGTAAGCCAGATCTTCTCATCCAACATTAGTACCTGACCTGTTTTTTTTTTATTGGCTGAATAAGTACAGATTCCCACAAACATGCTCCAAAATCTTTTGGAAATCCTTAACAAAAAAGTAAGGTTATTATAGCTGCAGAAGAGGCAGTGGCAACTTCCTAATAATGCCCATGGTTTTGGAATGGGACGTTCAACGGCTCATTTACGCGTGATAATCAGGTGTCCACAAACCTTTGGGTATATATGCATTTTAAATTAAAAAAAAACTTGATTTGTTTGATTCTGAAGTTTATGCATTCATTTTTATGCCTGTTTCTGATAATGGGTAGTTCTCTATAGGATATAAAGATAGTGTCATAGTTACATGTTTAGTCTGGCTGAAAAAAGACAAAAGTCCATCCAGTTCCATTAAAAAAAAAAAAAGTTAGAATCCTATACCCACAGTTGATTCTTTTTGGAAGCAAAAAATGGTCTATAGTCAGCAAATATTCAGGATTCATGACTTAATAAAAACAACCTAATATTCAAGCAGGATTACATGTGTTGTAGCAGTTTATTTTATGTGCATCAAAAGTCACAGCCAGTCAAACACCTCTCATACCAACAATAAATCTTAATGTTTTTGTAAGCTGTATATCAAAATGCATGCACCCACACCAAAGGCCTCACTCAGCTCCTCTATTATAGTCCCACACCAAAGGCCTCTCCCTATTTCTCTATCACGCTCCCACATTGATAGCTTGCACCCTTATCTTTACCCCACACCAATTAACTCACTCTGCTCCTTTGTCATATCATCACACCAAAGGCCTCACTCTGCTCCTCTATCACAGTCCCCCACCAAAGGCCTCACTCTGCTCCTCTATCACAGTCCCCCACCAAAGGCCTCACTCTGCTCCTCTATCACAGTCCCCCACCAAAGGCCTCACTCTGCTCCTCTATCACAGTCCCCCACCAAAGGCCTCACTCTGCTCCTCTATCACAGTCCCCCACCAAACGCCTCACTCTGCTCCTGTATCACAGTCCCCCACCAAAGGCCTCACTCTGCTCCTTTGTCATGTCATCACACCAAAGACCTCTCTCTGCCCCTCTATTAGAGTCCCACACCAAAGGCCTCACTCTGCTCCTTTGTCATGTCATCACACCAAAGGCCTCACTCTGCTCCTCTATCACAGTCCCCTACCAAAGGCCTCACTCTGCTCCTCTATCACAGTCCCCCACCAAAGGCCTCACTCTGCTCCACTATCACAGTCCCACACCAAAGGCCTCACTCTGCTCCACTATCACAGTCCCACACCAAAGGCCTCACTCTGCTCCTTTGTCATGTCATCACACCAAAAGCCTCACTCTGCTCCTCTATCACAGTCCCACACCAAAGGCCTCACTCTGCTCCTTTGTCATATCATCACACCAAAGGCCTCACTCTGCTCCTCTATCACAGTCCCATACCAAAGGCCTCACTCTGCTCCTTTGTCATATCATCACACCAAAGGCCTCACTCTGCTCCTCTATCACAGTCCCCCACCAAAGGCCTCACTCTGCTCCTCTATCACAGTCCCACACCAAAGGCCTCACTCTGCTCCTCTATCACAGTCCCACACCAAAGGCCTCACTCTGCTCCTTTGTCATATCATCACACCAAAGGCCTCACTCTGCTCCTCTATCACAGTCCCATACCAAAGGCCTCACTCTGCTCCTTTGTCATATCATCACACCAAAGGCCTCACTCTGCTCCTCTATCACAGTCCCCCACCAAAGGCCTCACTCTGCTCCTCTATCACAGTCCCACACCAAAGGCCTCACTCTGCTCCTTTGTCATATCATCACACCAAAGGCCTCACTCTGCTCCTCTATCACAGTCCCCCACCAAAGGCCTCACTCTGCTCCTCTATCACAGTCCCACACCAAAGGCCTCACTCTGCTCCTTTGTCATATCATCACACCAAAGGCCTCACTCTGCTCCTCTATCACAGTCCCCCACCAAAGGCCTCACTCTGCTCCTCTATCACAGTCCCACACCAAAGGCCTCACTCTGCTCCTTTGTCATATCATCACACCAAAGGCCTCACTCTGCTCCTCTATCACAGTCCCCCACCAAAGGCCTCACTCTGCTCCTCTATCACAGTCCCACACCAAAGGCCTCACTCTGCTCCTTTGTCATGTCATCACACCAAAGACCTCTCTCTGCCCCTCTATCACAGTCCCACACCAAAGGCCTCACTCTGCTCCTTTGTCATATCATCACACCAAAGGCCTCACTCTGCTCCTCTATCACAGTCCCCCACCAAAGGCCTCACTCTGCTCCTCTATCACAGTCCCCCACCAAAGGCCTCACTCTGCTCCTCTATCACAGTCCCCCCCACCAAAGGCCTCACTCTGCTCCTCTATCACAGTCCCCCACCAAAGGCCTCACTCTGCTCCTCTATCACAGTCCCCCACCAAAGGCCTCACTCTGCTCCTGTATCACAGTCCCCCTCCAAAGGCCTCACTCTGCTCCTCTATCACAGTCCCACACCAAAGGCCTCACTCTGCTCCTTTGTCATGTCATCACACCAAAGACCTCTCTCTGCCCCTCTATTAGAGTCCCACACCAAAGGCCTCACTCTGCTCCTTTGTCATGTCATCACACCAAAGGCCTCACTCTGCTCCTCTATCACAGTCCCCTACCAAAGGCCTCACTCTGCTCCTCTATCACAGTCCCCCACCAAAGGCCTCACTCTGCTCCACTATCACAGTCCCACACCAAAGGCCTCACTCTGCTCCACTATCACAGTCCCACACCAAAGGCCTCACTCTGCTCCACTATCACAGTCCCACACCAAAGGCCTCACTCTGCTCCACTATCACAGTCCCACACCAAAGGCCTCACTCTGCTCCTTTGTCATGTCATCACACCAAAAGCCTCACTCTGCTCCTCTATCACAGTCCCACACCAAAGGCCTCACTCTGCTCCTTTGTCATATCATCACACCAAAGGCCTCACTCTGCTCCTCTATCACAGTCCCCCACCAAAGGCCTCACTCTGCTCCTCTATCACAGTCCCACACCAAAGGCCTCACTCTGCTCCTTTGTCATATCATCACACCAAAGGCCTCACTCTGCTCCTCTATCACAGTCCCCCACCAAAGGCCTCACTCTGCTCCTCTATCACAGTCCCACACCAAAGGCCTCACTCTGCTCCTTTGTCATGTCATCACACCAAAGGCCTCACTCTGCTCCTCTATCACAGTCCCCTACCAAAGGCCTCACTCTGCTCCTGTATCACAGTCCCCCACCAAAGGCCTCACTCTGCTCCACTATCACAGTCCCACACCAAAGGCCTCACTCTGCTCCTTTGTCATGTCATCACACCAAAGGCCTCACTCTGCTCCTCTATCACAGTCCCCCACCAAAGGCCTCACTCTGCTCCTCTATCACAGTCCCCCACCAAAGGCCTCACTCTGCTCCACTATCACAGTCCCACACCAAAGGCCTCACTCTGCTCCACTATCACAGTCCCACACCAAAAGCCTCACTCTGCTCCTTTGTCATGTCATCACACCAAAAGCCTCACTCTGCTCATCTATCACAGTCCCCCACCAAAGGCCTCACTCTGCTCCTCTATCACAGTCCCACACCAAAGGCCTCACTCTGCTCTTCTTTCACAGTCCCACACCAAAGGCCTCACCTCTAAATATGACGCTGAGCACATGCACTCAACTCCTTTGGTCGACCATGGCGTGCTGCAGCTCAGTTTCAGGGACTCTGAGGATCTGAAAAAAAGAATTGTTGCTTTACATATAGATGACCTAGGCTATAAGAAGGTTGCCAAGACCCTGAAACTGACTGCAGCACGGTGGCCAAGACCATACAGTAGTTTAACAGGATAGGTTTCATTCAGAACAGGCCTCGCAATCATCGACCAAAGGAGCACGTGCTCAGTGTCATATACAGAGGTCGTCTTTGGGAAATAGACGTATGAGTGCTGCCAGCATTGCTGCAGAGGTTGAAGGGGTGGGGCCAGCCTGTCAGTGCTCAGACCATAAGCCGCACAGTGCATCAAATTGGTCTGCATGGCTGTCGTCCTAGAAGGAAGCCTCTTCTAAAGATGATGCACGAGAAAGCCCACAAACAGTTTGCTGAAGACAAGCAGACTAAGGACATGGATTACTGGAACCATGTCCTGTGGTCTGATGAGACCAAGATAAACTTATTTGGTTCAGATGGTGTCAAGCGTGTGTGGCGGCAAACAGATGAGGAGTACAAAGACAAGTGTGTCTTGTAGACAGTCAAGCATGGTGGTGGGAGGGTCATGGTCTGGCTGCATGAGTGCTGCTGGCACTGGGGAGCTACAGTTCATTAAGGGAACCATGAATGCCAACATGCACTGTGACATACTGAAGCAGAGCATGATCCCCTCCCTTCAGAGACTGGGCCGCAGGGCAGTATTTCAACATGATAACAACCCCAAACACACCTCGAAGACGACCATTGCCATGCTAAAGAAGCTGAGGGTAAAGGTGATGACTGGCCAAGCATGTCTCCAGACCTAAACCCTATTGAGCATCTTTGGGGCATCCTCAAATGGAAGGTGGAGGAGCGCAAGGTCTTTAACATCCACCAGCTCCATGATGTTGTCATGGAGGAGTGGAAAGGAATCCAGTGGCAACCTGTGAAGCTCTGGTGAACTCCATGCCCAAGAGGGATAAGGCACTGCTGGAAAATAATGGTGACCATACCAAATATTGACACTTTGGGCCCAATTTGGACATCTTCACTTAGGGATGTACTCACTTTTTTTTGCCAGCGGTTTAGACATTAATGTCTGTGTGTTGAGTTATTTTGAGGGGACAGCAAATTTACACTGTTATACAAGCTGTACACTCACTACTTTACATTGTAGCAAAGTGTCATTTCTTCAGTGTTGTCACATGAAAAGATAAATATTTACAAAAATGTGAGGGGTGTACTCACTTCCGTGAGATACTGTATATACGTGAATTTGTGCACCCCTGCCGCCCTTTAGCAGTATTTTTGCTATAGGGCGGAGGGGAAGCGGTTAAATCAACAAAACATGAAACTGCTGAATTTCTTTTAATTTGCAAAAATAAGTGCCTGCCACCAGCACCAATATTGAAGACAAAATCAGTGTCATGGACAGACTGTATCTGTGGCTGGCAGTGGCAGGGTGACAGTTGCAGTGAGTGGAGGATGATGGATCCACACTCTGACAGATCCGAGGCTGGCATTACCCAGGCAATGGGAGGGAGATAAAACGCTGTGACAACAGGCAGTCCAGTCCCCACACACACACAAACAGAACACCTGAACTGAACAATCCCACACAGTGACAGATCCGACACAATACACCAACACTGACACAGATCAGCAGGCACTAGAAGAGCAGGCTTTGGGATCGTGATGATGTCATCACTGACTGACATATTGCACATGTGATGGATCACGGTTCACACTCACACAGACATGAGACATCAGAGTAAGACATTACCTTCCTCCGCAGGAGCAGCTCCACCTCAGCTGATGAATGGGAAAATAAGTGCTGGAACTCCACAGTGATCAGCAGCAGCAGCAGCCAGTCGGCTTGCAGTAAGGGACTGAGTCTGAGAGGAACACTGGAAGGAACAGCAACTCAGCTGCTACACTGGCCCCAGACACTGGGCATCTTTCTCTGTCCTTTCTTCCTCCCCTCTGTCGCCCCTCCTCTCAGCTGGAGGATCATTCATGATGTGGCGGCGACACACACTACACCCAGGCACCCCTAAGTGGCTGTGCACCCTAGGCGGCCGCCTAGTTTGACTAGTGGAAGCATCGGCCCTGCTAGTATGCAATGCATAATAGCACATTATGGCATAAATCTGCAGGGGGGGGGCATTTTTTTTTGGTAACTTTACTACTGCTTTAAATTTACACACAGTTAATACAATGGTGCCCTCTATCCACACACAACCTGAATTGGGAAACCTGGGGCAGCGGTCATGGCAGCAGCTTAAATAGGAATAAAGGATAGACAAAGAATAAAATATAAGGAAGCTGCATACTCAGTAAGTGATCAAATCAGGTTTTGAATGTGCTTAGAAAACAGAGTTTAATATCGCTTTAAGCATTCAGAGGTTTGTGCATTTCTAGGAAACACATTTAGGTGGTCCTCTGATACTGATATTGGGTCTTGAAAGCATGAACAAAAAGATATTCAGCATCCCAGTCAACCACTGTGCAAGGAACTTTCTTATAGATTCTCCTGGCAAAGCCCAATAGGGAGCAAGAGTGCATTAAGCAGAGTCATCCATCACATGAAGTCTCATTATTCAGTTATTGCTGTCAGGGCTGGCACTTGACTTACCAAGTGTGTGACAATAACAAACCTTTCCTAATAAATTGTGTGAAAACAAACTGACACAAACTAACTTTTCTGTTATTAACACAGACTTTCCATGAAAAATGGCAATTTTTAATAATTGCTTTTCTTTTTATTAATTTTGTTCTTTATTTTTTAAGAATTTTATATACTTTTTAATTAGCTTTGCAAGCCTTTGTACTAGAATCACAATTATAGTGTCATTTTAAATGTATGCCATTAGCTAGAGTCATAATAATTTTTTTTACTAATGCTATAACGCCCAATTTTCTGAGTTGGCAAAGAGGGACACCCTTTAGATTCTAAAGTTTAGAACAAAATGTGTAGGCAAAGGACATGCCCCTCCTATGCTGTCTGTTATGTAACCCATGAAATATTAATAAGCAAAAAATTATTGTCTAAATCAAAAGGTGGGTAATTATTTTTTTCCCAAGCAGTCACAGAAACTGGGACTATTGTGGGGGGCTGAACCATTAGTAACTGACCGGTTCCTATATATACAGTGGCGGGCTGGGGTGTATCACTGCTTTTCTTGGGGAAAAAAGACTGACTGTAGAGCTGCAAAAACTGGGTATCTGACTAATAGTGATGAAAGTACTGGCACACTGTGTTGGATTGCCCGTCACAGAGGGAAGAGGATCATTTAGCTAAGTGGCACCTGCTGTGGGAGACTGGTACGAAACACTGCCACCCTGGGGGGAGAAACACTGTGTAGCTGCAAGCATGGGGTGGCAGGGTAAGTGTTTACAGGATCGCCACTGTCACAGGGGGAGGAAGGAAGGTGTCATGGTGTGAGGTCAGGTTCAGAGACCAGTAGCTATAGCAGCAGACCAACCAACAGGATAGGTAAACAAGCAGGTCACCCTGGGAAATGACGCAGGCTCATCTGAGGTGCGGGGTCTAAGCACTAACCGGTATTTACCAGAACTCCTGATGGTGGAGATGGATTTTGCTGCAGGTTAGTACCAGGTCACAGTTCTCAGGATCACCTCACCAGGAAGTGAGCAAGCCAGAATCCAGTAACTGATATGGCAGGTAGGCAGGTAGGCAGGTAGCAGAAGCGTAGTCAGTAAACAAGCCAAAGGTCAGTAACAAGCGGTAGTAGGTTGGGATGAGGCAGAATCATAGTCAAGGAACAAGCCAAAGGTCGGCAGCAAAGGTATGGATGGCAGCAGGAGAGACAAGCAAGATACTGGCTGGAGAAGGCACAATAATCTGGCAACCAGGAAGTGCAGAGACTTGGCTTAAATCAGGAAGTTCATGGGAGGAGCAAGGAGTTCAAGGTTCATCAGAAAACAAGGTGCAAAGCAGGATTGTCCAATAGATCAGGCAGAGTGTTGTCCAGCATCTCAGGTAGCTCAGTGAGAAGAGTTACTGCCTGACACAGTAAAGGTTCCAGGTTCAAGTCCAGGCCCTAACAGAAGGCTTTATGCACCACTACATATTGGGGTGACAAAAAAGTGAACCGGATGGACCTTAATGCTCACATGCCAAACATTTGTAGCCATGGTGACCAAGGTTTCTCAGCTGTGCTCCCAGCACAGAAACAGAGCTGTCACAGACAGTTTCCATTGTCTGTCCATGACTGGGACCACTGTGGCAGCCAAGGACAGTGATCAAGTCTGTGTTGCCTCCCAGTGTTAGAACCCAGTTAAAGGGCCACCAGCAGGGAGCAGAAAGGGCTTAAAGTGATACTAAAGCGTCACTTTTTTTATAATAAAATAACAAACGTGTCTATACTTACCTGCTCTGTGTAGTGTATTTGCACACAGCTGCCCCGATCCTCTTCTTTTCGGGTCCCCCGCTAGTGCTCCTGGCTCTGAGGGCACCAGTGCATGCTCGTTCCTGAACAGCGGCTCTATGTGTCCATAAGACACATAGAGCTGTGGCCCATCCCTGCGACCCCATTTTCAACGGGCTCCTGCTGCTGTTTCAGCAAATGAGAGGGAGAGTCCCCATACAGCTGAGGCTGGCTTGGAAACAGCCCAGGTAAGTATTGGGGGGGGGGGTTCACTGCACACAGAAGGTGTTTTACTTTTATGCATAGAATACATGATGGCAGGGCTTTTTTTGCATTGGCACAAAGAGGAACACAGTTCCAGTACCTCCAGCCCTGAACTTATGTAATGGCAAGAGATGCTGGGGTGTACTGCAGTGTCCATTGATGCTAGCTACTGGAGGATCTATTGTCGCTGGATATCTGTTGTTGCTGATGGGGGATTTATTGTTGCGAGGGGGTGGATCTTATGTTGCTGGGAGGGATCTTCTACTGAGGCAGGGGTCTATTGTTGCTGGCTTCCGGGGGTCTATTGTTACTGGGGGGATCCATTGTTGCTGGCTGCAGGGAATATATTTGACTGCTTTTCTTGTTATTAATAATAAATGCCATATAAATTGATACTTGGTTCTGTGTTCTTTAAAGGGGCGGTAATGTGTGGTGGGTAGGGGGTGGAAACCAAGGAATGGTGCTCAGAGGTGGGTAGGGGGCAGAAACAAGCATGTACTCAGAGGGAGTTCCTGCATCTGTTTTCTAAGAAAAAAAGCCCTGCATGAAGGTAAAAAAGCTTCAGCCTTTACAACCACTTTAAAGATTCTCAACGATCACAGACTCTAAGGCTAGGTTCACATATACACTATATTGCCAAAAGTATTGGGACACCCCTCCAAACCATTGGATTCAGGTGTTCTAATTACCTCCATGGCCACAGGTGTAGAAAATCAAGCACCTAGGCATGCAGACTACTTCTACAAACATTTGTGAAAGAATGGGTCGCTCTAAGGAGCTCAGTGAATTCAAGCGTAGTACCGTGATAGGTTGCCACCTGTACAATAAGTCCATTACATTTTCCTGCTACTAAATATTCCATTATCAGCTGTTAGTGGCATTATAACAAAGTGGAAGCAACTGGGAACAACAGCAACTCAACCACGAAGTGGTAGGCAGCGTAAAATGCACACAGTGCGCAGAAGCTGCCAACTGTCTACAAAGTCAATATCTAAAGACCTCCAAAATTCATGTGGCCTTCAGATTAGCACAACAACAGAGCGTAGAGAGCTTCATGGAATGGGTATTGATGGCTGAGCAGCTTCACCCAAGCCTTACATCACTAAGTGCAATGCAAAGCGTTGAATGCAGTGGTGTAAAGCACGCCACCACTGGACTCTAGAGCAGTGGAGACGTGTTATCTGGAGTGATGAATCATGCTTCCTTAAATATAAAAGATGTGGCGAGCGCTTCTTGTATAACAATAAAGAATATATAAGCAGCTAAAGCACTGAAAGGAGATCACAACAGCCTCAGGTGAAGATAAATAAATAAAGTGCAGCGCTAAAAATAAACAGAAAATTCGATCTAGAAAATTCTGGTCTAGAAAATTCGATCTAAAAAGTTCGTTCTGAAAATATCAAAAGTTCATAGAATCAGCGATAAAGTAGATATGACACAGCTTGTGAGAAATCCGGAACAAATGGCAGAAGTGCGCACTCACCGACCGCGCATAGGAAATGCGCATATGTTTAATCAATTCTGCAGAGTATCGATCTCCCTCAGGAAGGGGTGTTATCATGCGATGGTCAGCTGGGCTCACAGAACCTCCCAAGGATCGGGATAGATCGGCCGGATACAGACTCCAGGTGAAGGCTTCCCTCCTCTGGATGAAGTGGAAAACGGTGTCTGCTGACCCCCTGAATGAAGAAGCCGCCAGACCTCCTCGTGGTCTAGGCGGCAATAAGGCGTCACAGGCTGTCAGTTCCTCCTGAGGCCTTTCGTGCTAAGGCACATCATCAGAGGGGATACTGAGTATCCCCTCTGATGATGTGCCTTAGCACGAAAGGCCTCAGGAGGAACTGACAGCCTGTGACGCCTTATTGCCGCCTAGACCACGAGGAGGTCTGGCGGCTTCTTCATTCAGGGGGTCAGCAGACACCGTTTTCCACTTCATCCAGAGGAGGGAAGCCTTCACCTGGAGTCTGTATCCGGCCGATCTATCCCGATCCTTGGGAGGTTCTGTGAGCCCAGCTGACCATCGCATGATAACACCCTTCCTGAGGGAGATCGATACTCTGCAGAATTGATTA